AAACTTTGGTTCCCTCCCCAATGTGTTTATTTGCGAAGTAAGGCTTCAAGCGTTGACCATTCACAACAAATTCTCCTCCCGTTTTGTTCCACAATACCAAGGCTCCATAGGGTCTCACTTCTTTGATCTTGAATGGACCCGACCAACGAGATTTGAGCTTTCCCGGAAATAGTCTTAAACGAGAATTGAACAACAACACTTGATCACCTACTTTAAAGTCTCTTGGAACGATCTTCTTGTCGTGAAATGCCTTAGTCCTCTCTTTGTAGATTTTGGCGTTCTCATAATTCAAGGCGGATTTCATCAAGGTCATTCAATTGAATCAACCGCTTCTCCTCGGCGGTTTTGATATCAAAATTCAAAAGCTTTACTGCACACAAAGCCTTATATTTGAGCTCAACCGGCAAATGACATGATTTTCCATAGAGAAGATTGAACGGAGTAGTACCTATCGGAGTCTTAAAGGCGGTTCTATATGCCTACAATGCATCATCAAGTTTTACCGACCAATCTTTACTTGTAGTCCCAACCGTTTTCTCTAGAATAGCTTTGATTTCCTGGTTAGAAATCTCAACTGGACCACTTGTTTGCGGTTGATAAGGCGTGGCGACCTTGTGCTTCACTCCGTGCTTCTTGAGTAAACTCTCAAAGACCTTGTTGATGAAATGCTTCCCTCCATCACTTATTACCACTCTAGGAACACCAAATCTTGGAAATATTATAGTCTTGAATAGCTTCAATACAATTTTTGCATCGTTAGTTGGACTAGCTATCGCCTCAACCCATTTTGACACATAATCAACCGCCACAAGTATGTAGCTATTTCCATATGAAGAAGGAAATGGTCCCATGAAATCTATTCCCCATACATCAAAGATCTTAACCTCTAAAATTGGATTTTGGGGCATCTCATTTCGCATACTAATGTTTCCTTTTCTTTGACATGAATCGCACTTCGAAATGAACTCTTGTGCGTCTTTAAACATCGTTGGCCACCATAAACCCGCTTGTAGAACCTTGGTGACCGTCTTGAAAGTCGCAAAGTGACCTCCATAGCTTGAACCGTTGCAATGGAGCAAAATTCCTTCTACTTCTTCTTTCGAGACACATCTTCTATAGATCTTATCTTTACATAGAGTATAAAGAAATGGTTCATCCCAATAGAAGTGGTTTATATCTTTCAAGAACTTCTTCTTTTCATAGCTACTCAAATTTGGAGGTTCTTTCCCACATGCCAAATAGTTAACATAATCCGCATACCATGGGCCATTTTCATTCAATGTCTTCACCTCATCAAGTTTTTTATAGGTCTCATGACTTGCATCCAAAAGCTGAATTGCCAATAGTTGCTCCTCGGGAAGAGTGTCATCGATTGGTATATCATTATCAATCCTCAACCGAGAGAGATGATCCGCAACACCATTCTCAATCCCTTTCTTGTCTTTAATTTCCAAGTCAAATTCTTATAGAAGCAAAATCCATCTCAAAAGCCTTGGTTTCGCATCCTTCTTGGCTAATAGATGTCTTAATGCCGCATGATCCGTATGAACTATCACCTTAGAACCAACCAAGTATGATCTAAACTTCTCAAATGCAGACACTATAGCAAGGAGCTCTTTTTCGGTGGTGGCATACTTAACTTGTGCATCATCAAGAGTCCTACTTGCATAGTAGATGACATGAAGCTTCTTATCTTTTCTTTGACCAAGAACCGCTCCAAACGCATAGTCACTAGCATCGCACATGATCTCAAATGGTAGATTCCAATCCGGTGCTTGCACTATTGGGGCACTAACCAACTCTTTCTTTATCTTTTTGAAAGCATCTAGACATTCCTCATCAAACACAAAAGCAACTTCTTTACACAATAGTCTTGTAAGTGGTCTTGCTATTTTGGAGAAGTCCTTGATGAACCTTTGATAAAACCCGGCATGGCCCAAAAAACTTCTTATTCCCTTAACCGAATTTGGCGGTGCTAGATTGGTCATCACATCAATCTTAGCTCTATCAACCTCTATACCCTTCTCGGAGATCTTGTGACCCAATACTATCCCATCTCTAACCATGAAGTGTCACTTCTCCCAATTTAACACAAGGTTAGTCTCCTAACAACGTTTCAAGACCCTACACAAATTAGAAAGGCAAGAAGCAAAAGAGTCTCCATAGACGGAGAAGTCATCCATAAAAACTTTAACCACATTTTCAATTAGATCCGAGAATATAGACATCATGCATCTTTGAAATGTAGCGGGAGCATTACACAAACCAAATGGCATTCTTCTATATGCAAATGTACCATAAGGGCATGTGAAAGTTGTTTTCTCTTGGTCATTTGGATGAATCGGAATTTGAAAGAATCCCGAATATCCATCTAAAAAACAATAGTGGGTGTGATTAGCTAACCTCTCTAGCATTTGATCAATAAACAGTAAAGGGAACTGATCTTTCCTAGAAGCGGCATTCAATTTTCGGTAGTCTATACACATCCTATGCCCCATTATTGTTCTAGTTGGGATCAACTCATCAATATCATTCTTTACAACCGTGACTCCACCCTTCTTTGGGACCACATGAACCGGAGAAACCCATGTGCTATCCGAGATCGGGTAAATTATTCCCGCATCTAAGAGTTTGAGGATCTCTTCCCGTACCACATTTCTAAGGTTAGGATTTAACCGCCTTTGATGTTCAACGGAAGTCATTGACTCATTCTCAAGATGGATCCTAAGCACACAAAGAGTTTCCGAAATTCCTTTAATATCACTAAGAGAATAACCAATAGCTTTTCTATACTTTTTCAATTCTTCTATTAGGGTGGAGACCTCTAAATCACTAAGCTCGTCATTAATTATAACCGGATAAGTAGAGTTTGTTCCAAGAAATGCGTACCTTAGCCCATTGGGAAGAGGTTTTAGTTCCACCTTTGGAGCCTTGAATTCACTCCAATCTCCATCTATGCTAGACTTACCATTGCTAGTTTCCTCCTTGTTTGTCACCTCTTCAATCTCAACAAAATTAATCTCATGACTAACTTCTTTCAACTCAAGGAAGGTTCCATCTTCATTAGAAAGCTTGTGAGAATCAAGTATCTTCTCTTACCCCTCACTATCACTTTCAAGTAACCCAAACTCTCCTTGTTTTATAGTCAAAGTACTATGAAGTGGATCCTCCATTGCTAGCTCTTCCAAAAGCTCATTCGCTGAAGCTTCCATCTCTTCGATATAAAATTCTTGGTTTTTCAATGGTAGGTTTCTTCATCGTTTTTTTATATCAAAGGTTAATACCTCCTTACCCAAGTTCAATTAAATCATTCCTCTTCGCACATAAATCATTGCTCCCGCGGTTCTCAAAAATGGGCGTCCTAAGATAAGTGGGTCTTCCAGTTCCTCATCCATCTCAAAGACCACAACGTCGGTTGGTATCTCAAAATGACCAATCATCACCGGAAGATCCTTAAGCAAACCAACCGGGGTTCTAATAGAACGGTCCGCAAAGACAAGTGAGATTCTACAATCCTTAAATCTTGTGAAACCAAAGCGTTTGGCAACCGAAAGAGGCATCAAGCTAACACTAGCACCAAGATCACACAAGCAATGGTAAAAGGATAAAGGACCAAGAGCACATGAAAGTGTAAAGCTACCCGGATCATCAAGCTTCTTTGCTACAATCTTGTTTTGGATGATAACGCTACATTCATGAGATAAAAGGACCATACCTTGCAATGTTTTCTTCTTTTCTACACCCGCATCTTTAAGAAACTTGTTGTAAGTCGGGTTTAACAAGAACGCATCTATGATAGGCATGGTGATAGTAACTTCCTTCATTTGCTCATCAAACATTGCTCTATACTTCTCTATTTGTTGCTTCTTGAAACGACCCGGGAATGGTAACTTAGGTTCATAAGGTGGAGGCACAAATAGAGTCTCTTTCTTAGCAAAACGTTTATCCTTCTAGGAGATTTCTTCTTGGGTTTTGTCTTCTTTAGACTCTTCAACCATTTTATCCTTTCTTTTGTCAACAATACACTTTTCAACATCAATCTCATCTTGACAAACTTTCTCATTCAATACCTCCTCTTCATCAATCTCAATCACACCCTCTTTTTGTTTAGGCTCAATGTCTCTATTGAGCTCTCCACTTGGCAACTCTTTATCACTTCTAAGGGTTATAGCATTTATATACTCTTTCGGATTTGGTTTCGGTTTACCCGGTAAAGTTCCCATTGGCTGCTTGGAAGTGGATGAGGATTGGCTATAAACTTGGGCATTCAAACTCTCTATTTTGGCATTGAGCTCACCATAAAGGTCATCAACTTTGGTGTGCATTCCTTTCATTTGTGTGGCGAGATCGATTGCTCCTCTTCCTTGCCCTTCTAGAATTTGTCTAAGAAGAGCATTTGTATCATCTGCTTGAGGTGGAGGATTCGATGAACTCCCTTGGTGTTGGTTGTGGTGGTAGGCTTGAGGCTTTGGTTGGAAGTTCCCTTGGGGTTTAGGTTGATAGTTGGGTTGTTGTGTGAACCAGGGAGGCTTTAAAGGTGGGTAGCTTTGATCTTATGGGTTCTCCATATTATTGCTTCTATATGAAAGGTTGGGGTGATTCCTATAGTTAGGGTGAATTTGTTGTAGCCTTGTCCACTAACATAGTTGACCTCTTCTTGTCCCTCTACACAACCTTCCATATTCTCTTGATAACCTTGGTAGACATCACTCTCGGATACAAAATGGATCGGTTTTTGATTAGCAAGAATCATCTTATCCATGTTTTCATTCAATGCTTTGATCTCTTTGCGGTGTAGATTGCTCATCTCATTACTTTCTCTTGAAGTGCGATCATAATCTTCACTATAGTTACCATCACTTTGAGCTAGATTCTCTACCAAAGACAAACCATCATCAATATCTTGGCCCTAGAAGTTTCCATTGCTTGCCGTGTCCAACAACATGCGAAATTTAGGGAGAATTCCTGTATACAAGGTACTTAGTATAGACTCTTTAGAGAAACCATGACGAGGGCATTGCATTTTGTATCCCTTGAACCTTTCCGAAGCTTCACAAAAACTTTCATTACTCCTTTGAATGAAGCTAGATATCTCATTTCTCAACCTTCCCGTTCTTGTTGTGGAGAAGAACTTTGAGAGGAAGGCTCTTTTGCATTGGTCCCAAGAGGTGATGGAGCCTTGAGGTAGATTCTTCTCCCAAATACGAGCTCGATCTCCAAGAAAAACTGGGAAGAGTCTAAGTTTGAATGCATCTTCCGAGATCCCATTGATTTTCACCGTGCTACACAACATATCAAATTGGTCTAGATGATTCAAAGGGTCCTCCATTGATAAACCATGGAACTTAGAGCTTTGAACCATGTTAATGAGGCTTGATTTAATCTCAAAGTTGTTGTTCTCAACCGGAGGAGCTTGAATACTGTTTCTATTTCCACGGATGTTTGGTTCATCAAAGGCTCCAATTGGTTGATGAGCTCTTTGTTGATGTTGTGGCATATGACCATCCCCATTAGCTTGGGCATTTCCATTATGGCCCCCAACTCTGGGTTCATTCATGACGCCTAACCGAGCAAGGTGTTCAAGTCGTTCTCGTTCTCTTCTTGCTCTAGCGTTTTCTCTTTCAACCATGGAACTTAGAGCTTTGAACCATGTTGATGAGGCTTGATTTAATCTCAAAGTTGTTGTTCTCAACCGGAGGAGCTTGAATACCGTTTCTATTTCCACGGATGTTTGGTTCATCAAAGGCTCCAATGGGTTGATGAGCTCTTTGTTGATGTTGTGGCATATGACCATCCCCATTAGCTTGGGCATTTTCCATTATGGCCCCCAACTCTGGGTTCATTCATGACACCTAACCGAGCAAGGTGTTCAAATCGTTCTCGTTCTCTTCTTGCTCTAGCGTTTTCTCTTTCAACCATGGAACTTAGAGCTTTGAACCATGTTGATGAGGCTTGATTTAATCTCAAAGTTGTTGTTCTCAACTAGAGGAGCTTGAATACCGTTTCTATTTCCACGGATGTTTGGTTCATCAAAGGCTCCAATGGGTTGATGAGCTCTTTGTTGATGTTGTGGCATATGACCATCCCCATTAGCTTGGCCATTTCCATTATGGCCCCCAACTCTGGGTTCATTCATGACACCTAACTGAGCAAGGTGTTCAAGTCGTTCTCGTTCTCTTCTTGCTCTAGCGTTTTCTCTTTCAACCATGGAACTTAGAGCTTTGAACCATGTTGATGAGGCTTGATTTAATCTCAAAGTTGTTGTTCTCAACCGGATGAGCTTGAATACCGTTTCTATTTCCCCGGATGTTTGGTTCATCAAAGGCTCCAATTGGTTGATGAGCTCTTTGTTGATGTTGTGGCATATGACCATCCCCATTAGCTTGGCCATTTCCATTATGGCCCCCAACTCTGGGTTCATTCATGACGCCTAACCGAGCAAGGTGTTCAAGTCGTTCTCGTTCTCTTCTTGCTCTAGCGTTTTCTCTTTCAAACCGGCGGATGTCTTGAATTTCTTCTACTAAGTTTGCTCGACCGTGATTTCGTAGGTTCATACACCTTCAAAACAAGAGCAAAGATCAAGTATAAAGGATTGGTAACTAAAGTAAAAGGCTTAGTCTCAAGCAAATATGATATCCTAATGGCTAATAACTATTGCAAACCGGCAACGGCGCTAAATTGATGTAGCATTTATTTCTATTAATTATCGAACCACAATTTGCAATTAATCAACTCACCAAAAATACACACAATTGCTTAATCTAATCTAATAAGGTGATTTTGAGTGTTCATAATCTTAGTAACAATGCATTATCAAGCAAACAATGCAAAACAAGATAAAAGAAAGCAAGAAACAAAAGACTAACAAGTTTCGAAAGTAAACAAAGCGGGAAATTAATAATTACTTAGTGATAACTAAAGACAAATTCTCGGGTTAAGGTAATCGATTAGAAATGATAAAGAGATGGATTATGGAGCATCAAACAACTTCTAACAAGCAATGATCCTTGGGTCATAGAACACTAAACAAGACTAATACATTTCCATGATATTAATTCCTTTACTAATCAATCAATCATCAACAATTTCCAAAGGCAATCAAATGATCAAAAAGCATAAATAACAAGTCTATCTAGCCACTAATCACCCTAATTAACAATTTTCAAAGGTAAGGTATGAAAAGCACTTAAAGATTTTGGTTCGGGATTTTCATCGAACACCTTCCGGGGATGAAATTCCTAGTGTCTAAATCAACATGATCAATGTTGATCTAGCCTTAAAAGCAACCAATAAGTAAGAATCTTAAGTAATCTAGCCCTAACTCCATAACCCAACATCTAAACCATCCTAATCTACCCTAACCAAAGAACTCTAAAAGACTACTCACTCATGATCATGATTATACAAGGAATTGGTTTGATCTTTGTAAAGCCATGATCATTAGAAAAGAGATGAGAAATTTAAAAGAAATACTTGATATAGAAACTTAAAAACTCAAGATTCATACAAAAACCTAAGATAAAAAAACTTAAATAGAAGTTTTGATTCCTAAACAAAAAGCTCCCTTCTCTAAAACTAGGTTAAGAGTATTTATAGTAATGAGAAAATAAACCATATCAACCCGGAACAAACCGGGTTTTGACCTGGTTAAGGAAGGCAATCGACCAAGCAATAGATCACTTGGTAGATTCAATATCGTCCGCAACATTAATCCTTGACCAGTAGACCACGCAATCGACCACTTTGGTATATTCATAATCCTCCGTAGCTCTGGTCCTGACCAATCGACCATGCAATCAACCAGTTTGGTAGATTCATATTCCTCCGTAGCTCTGGTCCTGACCAATCGACCACGCAATCGACCACTTTGATAGATTCATATTCCTCTGTAGCTCTGGTCCTGACCAATCGACCACTTGGTCTATTGTCCTACTAGCTTCTCCTCTTTGGCCACTTTGCATTCTTTTAGCTCCTTTGTTTGCTCCATTTGCTCCATTTTACTTCCAAAACTTTAAATTCCACTCATGTACCTAAGAAAACCAAATGAAAATGCAAATGCAATACTATATGCCAAAATATGAATACAAAGCAACAAAAACTAAGATAAAAAGGGGTTTTAAAACAACCAAAAACACTAGATATCAACTCTCCCAAACTTATCTCTTGCTAGTCCTCAAGCAAGAACTAAGAGATAAGAAGAGAAAGAGGTTTGAAGGTGGGGATTCATAGCCACAAAATATCAAACGAAGGATTCAACTCAAAGTCCTTAAAGATAGTTCATATTTGCTTGAATCAATCATCATACTCTTTCGTACTTCTCCATACTCTTCTTAGTGTATAGCTCTATTTCAAATCTCCAACTATTAGCAAAGACTTACAATCAAGTTGAAACATCTCTTTAACATTCATTTAAGTGTTTGGCGCGGTCTCGCAAATGGAAGATAAATCATTCTCAATCGGTTTTGATTAAGGCTTTTGGAGGTGGTTTCAAAAGATTTACACTTTGGTGGGTTTCTCTCAAAAAATAGTAATGCTAGACAATCATGAAATCCATCTAAGACCAAGAACAATTTATGCATACAAAGTCTAGCTCTTCTTGTTCTACCCGTCTTAGATGTAAACTCCTATTTCTACCCTTCTTGCAAACTCTTTTTTTTCTTCTTTTCAACCCCAATCATTAGACACTTTGGTCTTTTTGAACCAAAATCCTCAAGATCAATCTTTTCTTGCTAGTCACCTAGGGAAGACTTCTTCTTTTGACACTTTGCTCTTTTCTATCTCTTTTCTAAGTTTATCTTTGTTCCCAAATACTTATAGCTTCTTTTCTTTTGGGGAACTAGCTTGATAATAAACTTTCTCTTTACACTTAGAGATTTAAAGCTTTCTTATATATAACTTATTCCCTAGACACTCCTATAAAACCATCGATCACACCTTTCTTTTCATTCATTCTTTTTTTTTTTTTTTTTTTCAATCCCAATCCCAAGTATTCAATCAAACTGTCACAACTGTCTCCCTCAACATTGAGACGGCGTGCTTTCACCTTACTTATATCTTTCTTATATTCCACTTTCTTAATTCAAATACAAAATTGTCTTAAAAATAATCTTAAATCATTGAAAACTCTTTAATAAATCGTATAATAAAATAACAAATAAAAAAAATAAACCGAGATTCCCAAAATACACCATAAGCGAGACAGACTTGCGCGACTACTCACGATTCTCACCGTGACCTGGGGAAAAAGGGAAAAAAAGGAGTGAGTAAAGAATTACTCAGTGAGAGGATCCAATCCGCCCCCTGGAAATACGATACACGATTCTACCAATGCATTTGACAAATTATAAGAGTTAAAGATGGATTAGAAGTGTTTAGACAACACTTATACCCGTTTTGTCCCAAAAGAGAATAAAACGAACAAAAAAACTGCTTAGAAGCAGTAAACAGCTTTGTTAGTGTTTTTATGGTCAAAATGTGTCACAATCCAATGCATTTGACTAATCATAAGAGTTAGGGATGGAGTAGCAGTGTTTAGACAACATTTATACCTATTTTCTTCCAAAAGACGCTAAAACCAACAAAAAATTGCTTAGAAGCAGTAAATAGCTTTGTTAGTGTTTCTATGGTCAAAATTTGTCACAATCCAATGCATTTGACTAATAATAAGAGTTAGGGATGGAGTAAGAGTGTTTAGACAACATTTATACCCATTTTGTCCCAAAAGAGGCTAAACCCAACAAAAAACTGCTTAGAAGCAGTCAATAGCTTTGTTAGTGTCTCTATGGTCAAAATATGTCGTATTCCAATGCATTTGACTAATCATAAGAGTTAGAGATGGAGTAGGAGTGTTTAGACAACACTTATACCCATTATCTTCCAAAAGAAATTAAAACCAACACAAAATTGCTTAAAAGCAATAAATAGCTTTGTTAGTGTTTCTATGGTCAAAATGTGTCACAATCCAATTATAAGAGTTGAAGATGGATTTGGAGTGTTTAGACAACAAATATACCCATTTTGTCCCAAAAGAGGATAAAACCAACAAAAAACTGCTTAGAAGCAGTAAACAGCTTTGTTAGTGTTTCTATGGTCAAAATGTGTCAAAAT